AGCATGTTTCGGTGTGATGGGGATTCGAACCCGCGACCCTCAGATTGCGAGTCGAGTGCCCTAACCACCTGGCCATGCCAGGCTTACTAAGCCATGTTCGACCCTCATAACTTAATCATAATGTTCGATACATTTTAAATAGCAAATATTGTTATCAAATTAAACAGCTATAAATATAAAGAAAGACTGACTGACTAACTATTACAATTTCTACCAATAGCAGCCAGTGAACTAAAAAAATCAATAGTTATAAATTCTGTCATTTTCCCTCTAAACTTTACTACATCTTTGAACATTTTTTCACAAGAGAATAAAATTTTGGTTGAAAATGTTGCCATATCTACATTACATTGATCATTCCAAAAGACAAAAATCTAGAAATATTAATAAATACCTGCTTGTCGTGGACCCGAATACTCAGCAGAAAATTCTCCTTGTTTGAATATTTTCAGTGTGGGGTAACCACTGACTCCATATTTACTACATGTTTCCTTCCCAAAATCTGAGGTACAATCGACCTGTACAAAAACAAAGTTTTACAACTGAGGACGACTTATAAAACATTACTACTTTTTACACTGTTTTGTTCATAAATCTTTAGAAGCTGAACCTGATCCACTGCAAAAAACTGTAATAGGGGGGCATAAAACTAAACTGGTACGAATATGTAGTAGGATTTGAAAGAAATTAATAATTTGTTTAACTTAAATCAACTCGGGTGATTTAATTAACACAAATACATGTTCAAAAATCATAGGAAAACTACAGTTTACGCCACAATCATTTTCAGAGACAATAATTCTGTACACAATGGCTGTATCTAAAACTACAAGAACGGACAAATTTGTATACAATTTTCAAACATTTGGAAGGAATGAAGATTAAATGAATGAAGTTGAGCTCTTTTTTAATCTTATAAAAACTTGAGTTATTCTATAAACTTTCTTTATTATACTTTATTTACAGTCAAACTAAATTGGATAAATATTGTCACATTAACATTGCTTTGAAACTTAACACGTTAGAGGATACAAAACTGGGAATGAAAATATTTTAATTATAAAATACAACTATCTTAACTGGAGTTGTTCAGATCCCAAACTTGTATATTCTTGTCCTACTGGCCATTGTCATTTCTAATACTGCATCATTACCAATGTGGTCTTACCTTAGCAAGTGGTACAGGAGGATCGTTATCCTTTAAATTTGTTGCTGCTTTCTCGTACTCCGGAGCAAGTCTCTTACAATGTCCACACCTAAAGTAAATAGCTAATTAAGTCACTGAAACTTTATCACAAGACACGTGCAAAACAAAAACATACCGTGGTTCATTCTATTACAGTCGCATAAAATTAACTTAGCTAATAATTCAAAGGATTACAGCAAAAAAATGTTATATATTTTTATAATCTTGAAACTGTCCAATACTTTTCAATAAACTGAAACTAATATCTTGTAAGGTTCAGCCAGCAATGCCAAAATACTCTTTGTAACTGTAAAAAATTTACACATTTTTCAACTATTATAAATATTTAAACCAATAATATGAATGTAACTTATAAATGAAATGGTCATACATGTTTATTATTTTTTATTTAAAAGTTGAAGTTGGTTACTTTGAAACTGGTTACTCTTTAACACTGGAATAGTTAACTGAAATTTGTTTACTGAGATTATCTTGAAGCATACGACAACTGATTGTGTCAGTTATAATTTATCCCACCTGTACAGCTACAGCTCAATCTTTTAATTAAATATAGAAAAATGTTCACCTCATCTTATTCGTCCATTTCTTCTGTTCAACCCCTAAAAGTATCTGTATGATTAAGTCACACTGGCCAAAAAACCTTCAGTTAAAAAATATTATTTTTAATTCTTACAATATCTACAATTTAAAATATTGTGTTTTTTAACCACTCTTATTATACCATTGAGACTAATTTATTTCTCTTTAGATGATCTGATTCCAAGACTAAAGTCAGGCTGCAACGACCAATGTTTGTCAACAAATAAAGGTACTTGTAATTCTTTTAACTTCTATTTAACTTCCTATTCTTCCCATTCACTATTACTCTTGAAACCTTTGGGATGTTTTCTAAGTATTAAGCAAGAAATTTTAATACATGAAATAAATATTCTATTAAAACAATGACACAGTCAGATTTGTTGATTTTAACATAAATGTAATATCTTGTGCTGTAGAAAATGCAATGATTATTTATTTAAAACCGTGACAAAATGTAGCCTTTCAAAATAACATCGTCAAACTATGGTTTACGTCAACATACGGTCGAGAATATTGGACTTCAACTTAGAATACACATCATAATTATTCTTTTAACTTAAATCTGATAGCTATATTACCATTTATTGGGAAAATCAAATCAGATAAATGTTATGTACACTTGGCTTTTCTTATTGAAATAATTCTACTGGATCTGATAAACAGAGCTAGGTTTAATATTTTAAGTTACATCTTCTTCCAAACCTTAATAAGGTGAAATAGACTATTACAGGGTATTACATTGTACCATCTTACACATTTGGATTTACTGTCCAGTGTGGCTGTATAACTGAGATACTGTGTGTGAACTTTATAGATCAGTGTAACGGTCCAACTACTTTAGTCTTGTGGTAAGCCTAATTAATTATCTCAAGTTCTATTTTTGTTGTTACTGTATCATTTTTATAAGTAGATTCTTAAAATTATACTTTAATACAGGATAGTCTTAAGTCTGAGAAGATTTAAATATTGAAATAAAAATTCGATTTTACAGAAAGCGAGTGTAAGTCGAAAAATGTTAATGCAATGTTAAATTGAGAAAGTTAGGGCCCGTAATTGAATCCAAACATTTGTCGAAGTTAATTTTGTAGTGTGATGATAACACTATTATATTAACACTAACAGTAACACAGTACTATATCGTTATCAACATCACAGTAGCCTGTAGGCATTATTTAATATTAGCACATATTAAGTTACAGTTACACAATCACAACCTTAGCTAAGTTATTGAACAAGCGTGAAATTAATCAAAAGTCTTAAAAGTTTACTAGCAGTTAATACTAATACTGTTAAAAACAATAAAAAATTACCAAGGTGCAAAAAATTCCACAAGCATTGTGTCATGTTCTTTGACTTTATCTTCAAAATCAGACCCTGACAAATCTAACACATCACTGGCAATAGCAAAACCTGCTAAGTAAACTATTAAAAAAAGGAGTTTCATTCTCGTAAAATTTCCGGCAGATTTTTATAGAAAAAGTGAATGAAGAGTATATATATATAAACTTCAAGTTGACTTTAAAATGACAAAGTGAGCTACCGGTATCCTAATCTTACCCCACCGGTCAACGTGGCTTAACTTAACCTGCTGTAATTCTTTCCTCGTACTGTGTGCTGTCGAGTGCTGATTGGTCCTGTTGTAACAGAGCTGCGTGCTCGATTAACTCACCCAGGCTACTTCGAGTCGTTTCGGTGAAATGTACACTCTAGTAATAATAAGCTTTTGTTGTTAGCATTGTAGGGATTTGGGATTGAAGACACGAGGTGATATTTCTCAAATCTAATTGTAGAAATACAATGGATCCGATAGTAATAGGTGTTGTGGCAAGTATCGATAGGTCCCGTGACAATAATATAACAACATAGTCAGACTGCAGGTCTTTGATTCGTTATCTTCTGGTTAATGATAAGTCACGCATCTAAACAGAGGGTTGGGATGTTCAGTCCTCTTTAAAATAAAAGTGTTTATATATTTGCTATCAGAGTCTGCTCTGCCCTTTTGGCCAGAACATTAGATTGAAAATGATCTGTTGAAATGCACGTCTTCACCATTCCCGACACTCAAACAACTCTGCAAACAGCTGGCTGTTGAAGTTATTTCTTTCATTCAGGCGTGTCGAAGTGTACAGTTCTAACAATGGATAAATCTCCAAACCACTTTGTTTAATAATCGATAACAACCAGCACATACTGAGTACAGTTTAGGGAAGAACATTACACTCTCAGTCCGAGTTCTTCCTGGTGTCTAAACCATCACTAAATGTCTTTACTTAAATACAGCAAAAAATACAATGGTAATAGTTCACAACACTCTCTGGTGTCCTCCATTGTACATAACCCGACTAATTTCGATACCCGTGGTGGGCAGAGCATAGATAGCCCATTGTGTAGCTTTGTGCTTAACTTACCATTATAGCTATAATTTTTAACCATCTTATAAATTCTTCCATTTGTCACACGTGAGGTACGTTTTTTGTTTTGTTTTTTACAGTTTGGTGAGGTGCTTGTAAACACAGTAGCTGTTTCTCTGTTGTTGTCCATGTTTATAGTTGTGGTGACAAGCTTCTAACTACTTCCAATGTGTACGGGGTCATGAAGTAGATTATTTAGTCACTGGTGGAATCACACCCACCCTTGTCTTGTTTTACCGTTAGATGTCAATACTGTACATTCCACTTTGCTTGAAATGATACAATTTTCATGACTAGCATGCTTTTATAATCAAAGGACAGAAGAACCTGACGTCATATAAGTGGTAATTTTTACACTTCAACTAAATATAGTAAGAGGGTCAAGGATTTTCACCTGTGTTGTCAAGATGGTTGGATATGCAGATTATTGCCATAGGTCATGAACAATCTCCTGTCACAGAAACTGTTTCACTCTAATATTACGTTGTGGTCCGATTGTTAGGACACTTGCAATCTGTTCGCCCTTTCAGCCGTGAGCGTTATAATGTGACGGTTAAGTCCACTATGGGTTGGTAAAGTGTAGCCTAAGTGTTGGCAGTTGGTGTTGTTGACCAGTTGTCTAAAACTTCAAAATTAGGGACAGCAAGCGTAGATAGCCCTTGAGTAGCTTTGCACGAAACTCAACAAAAGTGTTACGTTGTCAAATAAATCAGAAAACGGGTATAACTCTCCAGATAGGTAGCTAGTGTATGTTTATCAATGAAGTTTAGGGAACACGGATATAACTCTCCAGCTAGGCAGTTAACGTACGTTTGTTAATGAAGTTTAGGGAGCATCCACTAGTTTGTGAATCTTTATTATTGAAAGTACTAAACCTTGTATGGATATTCCTATATCACCTATTGAATTTAAATAGTAAATGATTGGTTTATAAGATATAACTTATTCCACGTTTCTTTATAGTTATTGTTATTAAACCTTATTGACTGTAATCTTTACTATATGATTGTGGTAATATTTATTGATTATAATCACAATTATGAAGAATTAGTTTACATTGCTGGCGTGTAGTGTGTATATTTAGACCAACCTAAACCTTCTAAGCTGGTCAAACCTCTTGAGATATTATTAGGATTATGGCCAAAAATATAGGTAACTGATAAGTTAAAGCAATTCAATCATTTAAATTTATGGATTTGTGGTGTATTGATCTGTGAAACTATGCCCTGATTGATAATTCGATGCACAATATTGTCTGTATTCATTATTTGTAGTTAAGCACAAAGCTATACAATGGGCTTCCTGTGCTGTGCCCGCCACGTTATCGAAACCAGATTTCTAGCATTATAAGTCCGCAGACGTGCCATTAGGGATGGGGGCTGTCTTCATTAATATATTTTCAATTATTTTAGTTCTGATCTATTTAGCTGACTTTGGTCAAACGTTTTCAGTACCGTATTTTTCGGAATA